ATCACATTGTTTCCCTGGAAAACGGTCCTCCCTTTGAACTCTCTCAGTTTGTATCCTTCTGGGAGTTCGCTGCCCTTACCTGATCTTTTAGCCCTATCAGAAACGGACTTCCATTCGGCTACCGTGTCATAAAACCAGGCCGTCTTCTTGACCAGTTTATTCCGTGCGCTCTACATCCAATGCTTCTTGCGCTTTGGGGTTGGACCTGATCTCTTTTCTAGTGACGGGCGTGGCCATCAGGGTGTTGATTGCACGTTCGCCACTCTGCATGCTTACTCGGGCTAACTTGACGTGGTGTCTATGTTCTGGGTAGGCACAGGTAGGCATGATAGGTACTTCTTGACCTTCATACGCACGATCGGGTTGATTTATAATACTGGCAACTCCGGGCTTCTTCTTTTCAAGTCTTTCCAACTCAGCTTCAAAGCGAGCCTTAAGACGTTTCTCAGCTTCACCAGCTAACTTGACCTGTTCCTCCCAGATGGCTGTTCTTCTTCCATACAAAAGGTGGAATATCCTTAGGCCTTCCGGCCTTGAAGCCCCCCGCATCATAGAAAGTGGGGTCTGATGTAGATATCTTTTGGCCTTCCCCTGTTTTGGGATTGATCACCTCAATCATGTCGCCTTCCTCCTCCTGAGGGCCGGGGAGAACTTCAGGAGGCTTGCCACATAGATCGAGAGGCTCCTTGGAGAAGATAGCGGTCATCACCTCGCAAGGCAGCGTCCCCTCGGTCAAGTCATCGTCGGGCGGATTTACCCTTAGATTGGCTTCTGGGACATGCCATACTCTATCCATTTTGTAGCATGTAGTCCGGAATGGATACTGTTCGGAGCTGAGCTTATTAATAGGTTCAATAAAGTTCCGAAAATTCCTTTACATTGACATGGGCGTCAGCATATTCATACCAGCCTTGCTGATTGTCAACATGCCTAAGGAGACCGAGCCAACCCGGATTGTAAACGGCACTGGCACTAGACGGCTGAGGTACTTCCCCGTCTTCAATTTGTTTCACCGTCGGCTCTGGCTCCCGCACAAGCTTTGCATCTTGGTCCGCAAGCTCGCGGTGGACCACATCCGCAATGTATGGGTTGTCAACTGCGAAGCCTTTTGCTTGAGCAGGCCGGTCAGCGAGGGGAAAGGCATACTTGTCGACCCTACTCAAATTGATTACTCTCATGATTTGTGCGGGTTCATCGAATGCATTGTCAATTAGTTGTTTCATGGATGCAACAAAGAACTCATCCTTCCACGTGAATTCAGGATGATAGCGTAGTCCATAAAGATGCCTTCACTCGAAGTCCCTTCAAATGTGAGCCCATCTTTCACTCTTTTCTTTCTGGGGCCATTCCAGTAATTAATTTGGCACCCAAAAGGAATCAGTGGACCTTTGAAGTTTTTCCCCAAATCTCATCTTCCCGGGTGAATCAGATCCGGACCGCGAAATGACATTCTGCATCATACACCAGTGTCGGGCGGCGTGTGGCCAATACATGTGATGCAACCCAGCTTGATGCAAATTTGTTCTAGCTCCTTCAAGTGCAGTTCCAATGGAACGTTCGGCAATTGCATTGGACTTTGAGATGTACTCCTTACCAAGCACATGCCTCCATTCGAGTATCTTTAATGCGCTGAGCAATTCAGGAGCATTATAGTTGTACATAACGCCTACTTGATCCTTGTGTCCAATGAAGCGTTTCAAAGCTAATATTGCATCTCTTGCTGTTCTCCGACCACTAGGGTAGATATACATGAAGTTTGTGGCAACATCCTTGACGACCATGGCAACCAGTCCCCCGTCAAGACCTGTCTCGTCCTCGGTGCGATGAGAAAGTCTGTGACTCGGCAAACTTCTCAGCAGTTCTTTACCTGATTTTAGAACAATGTCCCTAAGACGGATTCCTCAAGTACTTTCACAATTCCTGCTAAGACTTGATCCCAGTCCAAAATGAAAGTCTTCAGGTTTTCGCCTTTCAAGTGAACGCTAAACAGATCTTGGAGGGCATATGGTGAGCCGTGTTTCGTATTGGTGCTAAAATGATCATGTAACATGAAACGTACCTGACGACCCCTGACAATGCGCCCGTCGTTGGCTTCTGTCTCCTTGAATGTGTCCACTTGACCGGCAAAGTCTCCAGTAATGATGTTGGTGAGAGCTGGCAGGAGCTTCGCATCAAGTGCTGCAAACGGCGCCACCTTCCGGATGGCTTCTGACCTTCCTTCCATACCTCTCCGATCCATGCAAAAGCGGAATCGGGATTGGTGGATACAGCGACAATAGCCTCTCTGGTTTTGAATATGCTAGTTTCTATACGTCTCTGGACCTGGGATGGCCGGAAGCTTGATTGCATCGGCTTCCTTCACTTCGGGCTTGTCATCGGAATTCCCAACACTGAAACCACCCCCAAGAAACTTCTTCATACGTCAAACATCACTGTCGTCTTATCAGGGTCATCCCCGCCTCCCCCATCTCCACCTCCGGGAGCCTTCTTGCTCTCTCTCTCTCTCTCTCTCTCTCTTCTTGAGCAGTCGGCACTAATGATGGTGAAGGCGGTAGGGATGGATCATTGTTCCCTTTCCCACTTCCCCCATTTCCGTTGCCATTCCCCTCATCTCCATCACCGGGCCCATCACCTCCGCCACCAGGTTGATTGCCGTTGTTGGGGCCCTATGGGGCTTTCAGTCCGCATCCCCATAAAGCACGGTACGCCCTGACAAAGGAGTCTGATTCCCCTGAGCATTGTTGGGTTGCATAGCGAATGATGGACCTGACTCACCTGCCCCTCCTACCGCTTTACAGTACGTAATGTTGATGCCTTCCCTAGGAAGACGGTTCATGACAATTTCAGTGGGTGGCTCAGCAATCAGAGATTCGACGGACGGAGCTATGGAAGTGGGGGCATATCTGCCACCCGCAACTGGGATAGTGGCAGACATGGTAAACGGATCAACCGTCCTCGTCAAAGTCGCGGAGGCTGCGAAAGCTTGGAGCCCAACATACTCTGAAGCTTCTGGTTGTGGAGACTCTGATGCATCACCAGCTCTTCGAGCTTCCTGATGCGTTCTTCCTGTACACGCTCCTTTTCGGCGGCCTGATTCCGAAGAATCGCAAGTTCGCTCTCCTGCATGGCCATTGATTGCTGCAGATTGGCATCCAGAATTCTCTGATATGCCTCAACCCTCACTTTACACTGCGCCATACTGAGCCTCATGGGCACGGACATGCTGAACGGCCTCACTTTTGATGTTCTCCTCATTCTCCCCCAGAATCGTCCTTGCCTGGTTGATCTCTTGGGCCCCGCGAATTTGCAGTGCTTCCTTCAGACTTCCCTTTGCTGCTTCATGTCTAAGAGCGGCCTGAGCTTCCGTCTCGGGTATTGCCAGTCGGTGACGCGCTTCGGCGGTCTGCTCGAGCATCTCCGTATATGCCGGGTCATGTGTCTGAATCACACGTTGATTCTTGATCGTGGTTTACATTCATTTGATTGAACGCTCTCGATCCAGAATTTCCAATACCTTCGATACTCGGCCGAACCTCCCGGAGAGCACACGGCAAAACACCTCTGTGAGAATCCTGAATTCTGTAGCATAAGTGCGACAGCCTCGGACTGTGATGCTCTGCGCGCCCGCTCGCTTCTGGAACGTTCTGAACCTGCAGAGGTACTAATGTCAATGGACTCCAAGGAATTCTCGATGGTCAGAATAGGGCTAGCCATGGCTTAAAAGATGGCAAGGAAAAATCCTTACAACTCTTGGAGGAAGCAATTCCAAGAGTAGAATCTACCTACAGGAGAAACAAAAGGCGATACGGCTGATAACCTGTTTTTACAGGAAATACAGCCAAAAGCGGTCAGCTTATTTTCTTTGAGCCATACGGCAGTAACGGGGAGTTATTCCTATGCACATGTCATGATACTGCCTAAAAGCAAAATCCCGGGTAATATTTGGATGGCCCTGAGTTGTGGCACATTCCTGATCTGCTTTGTTTTGAACATTCTGACGCGGTTCCACAGCCTGCATGCAACAAGCAGCCAGCAGCAACGAGGAGGACACAATAATTCAATAGCCACCATCACCATCACCGTCAAACAGCAACCACGACAAGAAGAAGAACAACAACGACAACAACAACAGCCAAAACATGAAGGATAAGATGAAAACAAAACAAGAACGTACTTTTTATTTCATCAGGGGAAACCTACTTCCAAACATTTCTTTGAAGATTTCGCCCACAAACCGATCAAAACGTGAACCGTTCCATGAACATCTATGATGTCAAAGGCCGATCGCAGCAAAACAAGGATGCTTCAAAGTGTTTGTAATTACAGCACGCAACTACCAAATCATGCTCCCCCTTGCGACCAGGAGATTCAACAAGGGCTCATTGATCTCGATACATGATAGTAACTCACGGACATGAAATAAGGCTGTTTTGGGATAGTTACCCTTACCGACCATTATTCCAGTGATGTTGCGGTGAGGTCGTTATAATTGCAATCCATCTTGCCTTTTTTTCTGCGGCAAATGAATCTTTTAAATCTATATCTTTCGTAACTTTCGTATTTGGTGTAGGTTAAAATGGGAAAACGCTTGAAATAACTGGGCCTATGTGCATCTTGTGGCCATGCCAATGCCTAGACAACCCATTCCACATGCATTAAAGCCAAAATCTGTTCCAAAGTATGTTTGTGGACTTCCATCGCCACTTATGAGAAACACCTAAAACAGTCTGATTCTAGGGTCCGTATGGAATCGAGAGAAGCGTGTTCAAATGAACACGAATCAAAACGATTACTTAGACTTTGAAACCTGGCGTTTCCCTGCCATTCTTTGGATCTGCCACAATTTACTACCCATCAAGTGTGCAAGGGAGTTTGCACCACTCAGGGGACAGCTTCTTTCAGTTTCATGTTGGCCACATTGGACAAAGGACCAAGGATGACCAAGGAATGGAATGATCGAATTTAATCGAATGGCGGCAAGCAGGGTAGCCGGGTAGCACCTGCGAGTTCACAGGCATGGCGTCCTGTGCAAGTTTGCTGATGATCCTGCACAGTCGAGCAACAGCTGAGCAACACAAGCCAGTGGGCTGATATGCATGGGGTATTTTTGTTCCAAAAAAAAGCGCATGGAGGGGGAAACGCGTTACTTTGCAAATCATTTTAATAAATCCTAATTGCTCAAAATTGCCAAGGACGCGGGCACACGGCTTGCAGTCTCAGCTCAGCCCGTGGCCACACCAACACAATGATCTCAGCGCTTCGGGCTGTGACAACTGTGACATGATTCGATACTCTGATTCCAATGTCGACTCAGTCTACGACGATGCGGCACTTGCAAAACTGAGGCCGCCCACAAAGTCCAACCAGTTCCACATACCGCAGAAAAAGAGGAATTTGCCTGAAGTGGGAACAAGAAAAAATCACGATGAGTTCCACATGCACATCTTGTGAACACTTCGTGTGCCCAGGCTAGAGCCTTTGCCGTCATTACATCAATACGGTTTGCAAGCGGAAAACGAAAAAAACACATCCCTTTCAGGTAAAGGTGCCATGGGATACCCGCCCAGGATTGGACATAAATAATCCAGGGGCACCATCACATATACAGCCATGCATAAGGTCAGTAACAAATATTGCTGGATTGATTTTCAACAACAGAAATTCATCCAAAATAGGGTGGCTGGCAATTCACCCCGGCCTACACGGGATAAGTAAAATAAAATATGTGTGCCCGGCCCGCGCCGGGGCGGAAATTTTGAAAAAATGAAACTAGACGACGGATGGCCCGAGAGCGTAGAGGAGCAATTTCTTCTAGTGTTAATACCGAGACAACAAAAGCAACACAGTATATTAAAGATGTATTATAGGCAGAGGAGAAGAAAGTATCAAGAGAACATCTTACAAGACAACAAATAGAAGATGGATAAAGGTCAAGAAAAGAAGCCTTCAGAGGAAATCAGAGCAAATGTAAGTAAAGAGTCCAACATCAGACACCTTTATACACAGCTACTTTACATCGTTTTCACACATAGACACTTTTTCACACAGACGCTTTTACACACAAACGCTTTACGCACGGACGCTTTTACACACCAACACTTTTACACATGGACGCTTTTACGAACCAAGGCTTGGACACACACTTGAAAGACCTTATGTCGTATGGAGTCCTGATTGGTCCATCGAGCATGTTTGTCTTTCTTGTCAATTCTATGACATCTGGAAATGAAATCTCAGAAAGGCCTTGCGCCGCGTGACTGAGTCACTGATTCAAAAAATGGTATTGTAAAATGACAGAAATAATGCATGTTTTGGGGTTCTTGGCTTAGCCCCTTGCCATACCGACAGATTGAAATAAAAAAATGGCAGGTACGTCACTGGACGTCTCCAGTGATATCAGTGTCGCATGCAAGCCTCTTCGTTGGGCTGGTACTTGCATGGACAACCAGCCCCCCTGCTACTATGAAACATGTTCGGAAAAAAAGGATCAACTACTTCGACTAACCCTTAGAAACAGGGTGTGACCCCACACACGAAGGCCGTTTTGTCGCCAAGGTAATGGTTCCGTAAATGCTGCACATAGATTTAAATGCGGAGAGCGGAGAACACGTCTTGCCGAGCAAAACCTTTCTGTACATAAAGATTGGCCAGCGCAAAAAGACTGGCAGAAATCAGATCCGGTGGGTAGGTGCATTTGCGAATTAGATGGGCCCGGCTTTTTAGTCCACTCATTCTGAGACGGACCGATCCCGCTGATACACAATCTCGAATTTGGCGCAAGTCAGGTTGTCACCAGGTTGTCTATATTGAACAGTTCTTTGATGCACATCAACTGAAAAACCCAAAAGCAAGTCATCATCAACGACCTCAAGTTCAACAGGATGACCGTAAAAATCGAGATCACACAGCATGAGAAATCTAGGGTGAAGCTTTGCTTCTTCAGTGGCAATAATAAACCTGTTATCGACATATCGAATACCGAAAAATGCAAAGCGAGGTTGATTGAGAGTTTCCAGATAGATTTGGTGCCATGTACCTTCCACAGTAGTTACAGCAAGATTCGAAAGCGACGGAGAAGTTTGACTGCCAATGCCTGCGCCACGAATTTGTTTCCAAAAACATCCAAGGGCAGAGAATATATGGGAGGAGAGGCTGGAGCGAACTACTGTCAAAATGTCCTGTACATAAATCTTCTTGAGAGTGTAGGCAGATTTTCGATACGAGCCTGAAAATGTCGATTGAGTCGGGTCACCTTTTGCACTAATATCCACAGTTATGGTGACCGATTGAAGACCGGGAAAATGAAGTAAATGTTCACCAGTCCATGCGTCGACCAATTGATTGACGGCATCCGATAGTCGTTCTTGAGGCACTGAATTGAAAATGCGACTAGGCTATGGTGCCTCAAGTTACCGTGTAGTAGTTGTTCCTGATGATCAGTTAGTTGTCAATCTCCCCGGAGGCAGCTGCGAACTCTTTTCCCTGCTGATCGGACTGCGGTGTTCTTGAGCCAAAGCAGCGGTTGGCATTCTGACCGCTGCTGGCAATCCGAATTACCGCTACATACAAGATTGACCTGTCGCCTGTGTTCCAATGACACCCCCCATGTCCAGCTTATCTCGATCGCTGGGCGCCGGGGCGTGCGGCGGGCTTAAAATCTAGGTCAATCACTCTCGAATTAATTGTTTCCGTGCCATAATATTGTAGAACTGTACAATGTGGACTCTACTGCTTTGTACAATACGCACTGACGATCCCTTACTCCTAGTGGCGGACTCACTCACTAGTTTCGGGTCACGTCCCAGGATCACGTACTACCCAACGCTGTCTAGCCGATGGGGTTCCGCTCACCTGTTGGCTGTGCACTGCTGTATGGTGTCCACATTATTGAGACATCCAGTCTCGGTTCATATTCAAAACTTGAGTTCTCGCACAGAAGTCATCTTCGTTACTTCTATGCGTAAGCTCTACTTTAATTAGCCCGGCGCTCATGCCTCTCTCAGAAGTTCCCCGCAATGATGTAGACCAGACGCCCTTCACTTCTTTCTCCTACTTGGTCTCCTTCGCGTCTTTGCTACCCGATGCAGTACCCTCTTCCGTTCCCTGGGTGTCGGTGATGGCCCTGATGTAGTTTCGCACCCTGTCTCGTTCTGGAGGGTCCAACGTCCTGATGCTCGTTTCCATCTGCGCATCGCTTTGTGTAACAGCCTTCAGCTTACCCTCCCACGACCTTTGGAGTGCTTGAGGGAGTCGTAGGCCAACTTTGTTGAGGGCCACGAGGACAGCAAAAGTGCGTGATCGCTCGGTCACGGCGCATACCAACTCTACGGGGTTGAGGTGTACATGATCGTCTCGTTTTGGTGGGTTTACCCTGAAGTAATCATAAGATCGTACTGCAAATGTCCCTGCGATGATCTTGCGGACAAAGTCAGTAGCTTCACGCCGAACTTCAGTCTTTCTCTCGTCGTCCACGCCGACAGCGTCGATGACCTTGGCGTTGATGAGTTGTGGGGTTGCCCCGGTCCGCACGAGGTACTTCATGATCTTGCATAAAGTCCTTATGCCGTTGACTCCTTTCAGATATATCTCGAGATCTCTCCCACCGAATTTGCCGTCTTTGGCGTGGTTCTGGAACCATGCCTTGAGCTCATCCTCGGTAGGTTCTCTGAGATCGCCTCCTGCATCTTCGCCGACGTAAGGAATGTATCCGTCAAATTCAGGAAGTAACTTGACGTTTGACGTGCATATAGTACGCCTGTGCTGATGCCATAGAGGCCCATGCGTGATACAGTCTGTAACTGTCTTTCAGGTAGCTGAGGATCATAGTATCTATCGCCCTTGCGGTGCTGTCGATCGCATCTTCGTTCTGAGCGATGTCGATGCAGTGGATGATTGATCCTTGAACTGTTCTCGCTGTTCAAAGAGGTAGTTTGTTCTGGGATTCCCTTTGCTCCTCATCTTGTTCCTGTTCCTGGGCATTGCGTTCATCATCTTCTTCTTCTTGTTGTTCTTTCGTCTTGCCTCCAAAGACCACCTGTGGATCTGGTGTAGTGCGAGTACGCCTACTTCATACTTCCCACTCTGGACGATGGTTGGCTTGACTTCGAAGCTGACATGTCCACGTCGTCGTCGGTCTTTTCCTCGGCCATTCTCTTGGTTTCTCTGACCAACCGATCGATCTCATCCTTTTCCATCTCCACATCTCCATCAGCTTCTTCGGTGTCATCATTGCTCTCTTGTCTTTCCCGTTCAGGCATTCCAGGGGCTGTGCTCTCATCCTGTGTAGCAGATTTCTCCCCCGCTAACGAGCGATTCATGACATCGAATGCAGATAGGCAGGTTGTTCGGAGTTTCGGAAAGGCATGCCGGGCATATGGTCCGGCTTCTCGTGGAGTGTAGTTCTTGGCGATGAACGTCACGATTCTGTTTGTTAAATCGTCCCGGTGGTCTAATACTCCATTGGCTCTCGAGCTGTCCAATGTCCTTGATGAACTCGTCATAGTAAGGAATGTCATCCTCGGCGTTGATCTCGTTCAGCAATGACTTGGCGATTCGCATGACAGTCGATGCCGTTGCAATCTCCCTTGGCTCTTGGCAGCATCTCACCAATTGAAGTTTCCCGGAATCGAGCAACAGTCGTTCCCAATCCCAGTTGTTGGCCTGATACCAGGCGGCGATCACCTCGGAAAACGGAATGTTTCTACTATTGTCGTGATGCGTTGACCATGACTCCCAAGCTCATGAGTCGATGAACGCTGAATGCCAAGACCATGCGAGGCTGTCCGAGGTGGGTCAATGCTCCCCCCAGGATCTTCTTAAATCGCTCGTCCCATGGTGCATAGGGGTTGAGGAACACTTGTGTTCGTCCTCCTTTGTGACCACCTGGTCGAAGACCTTCTTTGATGATGCCGATCACGTTCTTAACCTCAGTAACGTGGTAGCAAAAATGAAATTCATCTGCAAGTTTGGTGGTGATCGGATGACAAATCTTGTTATAGTTAAGGCGAAAAATCTTGCCCTTTTGCCGAAAATCCTCCAGGTGAACGCACAGCAATTGGTGCCAAGAAGACTTCTCCATGTTGGGCGATGAGTTGGTGGATGTCGTTTCCAACTCCCATGACATTCCTGAGGTATTCATCAGGCTCATTGAAGCTCGAATCCAGGACGATGCAGAGGAACTGGATGCGCACCGTGTTCTTCTTCTGGAACTCAGACCAAACCGTCTTGATCATGGTGTTGACGCGTTCCTCCCTGTAGTCAGGGGCAACAAGTCCGTCATCTTCAGTACGGACGTTTTCGTGGTCGAAGACCCATCCATGGTGCAGGAACTCCATGATATCGACCCATCCGGCTTCATCACATTGTAGTCCGGGGTATCTTGTGCTCCTGTTACCGTGCGTCTTCTCCCATACTTCATATCGTCTGATGTGGTGACGCAAGGCCTTGTTGAAGTAGTAGCTGTAGTTGTTCTCCCACGTCTCCAACCCCACTCGGTTCGGATTGTCATCGGTCGGCAATGGGAATTCAATTCCACCACCGGCATAGTCACTGTGCCGCCGTTGAGTGGTAGAATCTTCAATTTCCCAATGTCGGTCCCGATCTTGAGCTTCTTGTACATCTTGTGATCGGAGTATGCGAGGGCTGCCCTCATGTCCTTGCAGGTGAGGGTGACTCCTCTTTGACTTGCAGTGTCGACCAGGTCGTTCAGCTCATCTTTCGTTGCTGGACCCTTCTCAATGGTCTTCACTCCATTGATACTCTTCTCACCGTGAGCTCGATCACCGATCACCGATAGTGGGATAGGTCGGAGGTACATGTACTCTCAATCTCTTGTGGCCTTGTAACCTTGTAACCTTGTAACTGTTGTTGTTGTTGTTGATGATGTTCCTCGCCTTTGGATTCTTTGGCCGTCCCTTCATCATCAACTTCTTCACCTTGAAGCTTCTTCCTCAGATTGATCAACGAGTTCTTAACTGGATCGTCGCCCTTCACGGTGCACTCATAGTTGGGATGTCCACTCTCGCGGCACTTCAGGCAAACGTTGTTGTCGTCAGCCAGCGCGAAGAGCGCATCAATGGCATCGATGACTGATCCCTTGTCTTTTGAGATCTGGAACTCTTCCTCGGGGTTAGGTGGAGTGCCAGGTGCATCGTGCATGTCTGGGGCCGCAGATGTGCCTGCCCCTTCAGCACTAGCTCCTGCACTTTTGGTCGATGGTCCCGGGGCCGCCGACGAGCCTGCCCCGGTTCCCTGACCGTCCAGTTCCATCTCATCATCATCATCCTCATTGGCCATAGATCTCTTGTAGTTCGCGGCGATGATGTTGATTTCTTCATCCTCAATCAGGCAAACATTTTGCAGGCTGTGCCACATCGGTGTGTCGAACAGAATCTTGTTCACGACAACCTCTTCATGGTTCATGGGTTCAGTTACCCTGGATCCGCTCCTCTTGGTGTTGGATGTCGTCGTAGATCTTGTTGTTCCATGGAAGATGTTGAGCGGCGCTTCCAGGCCAGCAAGCAGCTCGCCTGGGTCCGCCTTTGTCTCCATGAATGTGATCTGCGACTTCGTCATGTTGGCGACGTCTAGCATGCCAAGCGACATTTCGACCACGTCCCCGCATTTCTCTGCTGCGGGATCGGGGTAGTCCATGATCTCGGCGAAGTCGTTCCCCAACACCATTTTGAGGTAGTCCTTGTAGAAGACGTTCCCGTAGTCCTTGGAGACACGGTATGCATACCTCTGATGCGTACCTTGCTCGGTTTCCAATTGGAACTCTTCCCGGATGACGGTGTACTGTTTCCCACGTTTCCAAGTGAAGATCTGCTTCACACGATCCCTGGGAACCCTAACGGTCCCGAAGTGCGATAAGGCCTTCATCAGGATCTCGCTATGCTCGCATTTCTTGTTGCCGACCATTGCATAGGTGATGTCCTTGAGGAACTGCACAAAATCCTTCGATGGATCTGTCACATAGTGATTGTTCTCACCCGAGATGGCAAAGAATGCCTTGGTTCTTGCGGCCGTCTTGACGATCATCTTCCGCTGGTATTCGGGTTGCCACAAACCATACTCCCTGGACATCTCATTGGCCCGGCAAACGATGCATTGTTTGCCCCATTGATGGTCTTGCCTCAGATAATCTGATGGGACCACTTCATCGTCGTTCCCATTGAAATGATACTGGCATAGAAAGGCGTCGTCACGCCCATGGTTTGACATAGAACCACATGTCGTACATGTTGGCCGATGATTCCGGCAGTCACGATCGCACTGTTGCTTCAACCCACGGTGCCTTTTCGTATTCTACCGTGACCTTTCTGCCTCCACCGATACCGATGGTGTCTGAGTCATCAGAGCCAGCGCTAGTGGTATCAGGGATCCCGCGTCCGGCCCCAATGTCGACCGTAGCAGGCCCCTTGAGCACGCTGTCCATCAACTCTAAGTCGATCCCGACCTTCATCGATGACTCCTTCACCAAGTCATTCATCCCCTTGGATGCCTCGACGTTCAGCGAACACATCAGTAGCACTCGCTGCCGGAAGAGGAACTTCTCGATGGTGGCGAAGACTCCAAGTCGTTCAGGTAGGTGGTTGTTGCTCATGTAATGATTTCTGGCATGACCATACATCAGTCTCCACATCCCATCATCAGTTGTGACCATGATGCCAAAACTTCTGAGGATGTCGGCAGAGTCAACAGCAACGTCGTGAATACCTGTTGGGATCCCGTGGAACCTTGAATCTTTGCACATAGACACAAAGATCGGTCTGGTTGCCATCTTGTCGACTCCTCGGATCGCCTCAGCAAATTGCTCCGCGAAGTCGCGCTCCACCCACACGTTGTATGGAGGATGATCTGCGATGAGGAACGCAAAGGATACCCAAAAGCGGAGTGTCACGTTCTCTTCGGTTGCTATGTCGGGCATCACGTTCCTCTTCAAGTGTTCAACCACATCGAAGAACTTCTGGGCTTTGGACGTGCTCTTGAAGCTGTTGATGTCGATGACCGTGATGGCATAGCCCACCTCGTCGAGCCCATATTGGATGTTGGTCATCCCTTTCGAGTTCGAGTTGCACTTGTACATGAGGTCCGTGATCATGATGGTCTTCCCATACCGGAAGTTCCCTGCCAGCACGTCCTTCTCTTTTCGTACCAACGGCCTCTCCACGATGGTTCCACCGATTCCTGAAGTCAGGCCTCTCTTCCATTGGTAGTAGTCCTGGCTCGTCGCCTTTGCATCATCATTCTTACTAATCATCACCGTCATTGAACCAACCGAGAGGTAATAGTTCTGGTGCAGCATGCCCCCGCGTTTCACGGCTGCGTTGTAAATCCTCAGCCACTCCATGTCGCTGAAGGGGGTAGGAGTTGTCTGCAATCTCTCTGGTGTTGGCAAGTCCGAAGCATAGGCAAGTGTACGTGGCGACTCTCCTCAGGTACTGTCTCCACGTCATTTGAGCACTATTTGCCATTGGTCCTTGGACATGAGATAGGGCGAACTCCCCACTCACCTCCTGAATGTTCAACTTGGATCTCACTGGTGTGCCCGTGTAGTCTTGCAGTGATTTGTTATAGGCCGTCACGTACAATGGCTTCTGTGCCTGGACATACTCAGTCTCGGGCACGTCACGTCGTGATGGCATAGACTTTGCCGCAGGTTTAGGCTCAGCCTGCGGTGGTGCTCCAGCTGAACTGGATGACTGCGATCCCGTCGCAGTAGACTGCGGTGGTGGTGCCGTAGATGTTGGTCTCGCCTTCGGTGGTGGAGAAGGATGTGGCTGTGGTGGTGCCTTGTATCCAGGTGGTGGTCCAGGAGGTTGTTTTGGTACAAACCTTCCTACTCTAGGCCCCGGGGTTGTTGGATCAGAGATCGTTACCCAACCAGGTACCTGCCCACTTGGAGGCTCCGGGGCCACACTCCATCGTTGAACTTTAACACTTTCTTCCACCCACTGGCGGCCACTTGTGCTCCAGGTTGTCCTCCACCGGCTTGCGTCTCTGTGAGGGTTGTCATGAAGTCCCTCAAAGCTGAGAAGCATTTGTTGCGCTTCTTGATCTCTTCGTGGTTGCCTTCCTCGACATTGATGACGTTGTAACCATGGTTTTCCAAGATCTCGAAGGTAAGCATCAAAGACGTCTGAACACGTCTCACGTACTCCTCAACCTTTGCAAGGTTCTCTTTGGCCACCGCTGAATAGCTCGTGTAGACTGGCAGCTTCTTCTTCCATCTGTAGACCATGGGTGCCAGGGCGAGAATGCAGGTGAAGTGGTTGACAGCTGCTGCTCGTTCTCGACCCAACTTGGTCTTCTGCTCTATGAGGTCAGTGATCGTGGTCTCCACCCAATAGACCCGGTTAGACAAAAACGTGGAGAATCTTGATTTTACAAAAATCAAGAGATTTTTCAAAATTAGTCAAAAAAAAGACTAATATCTTTCAAAATCTCTAGATTTCTTAGGCAAAAATCTGGAGAAAAAGTCAGATCGCAATTTGCCGAAATAGTTAGATCTCAATCTGCCGAAAACGGCAGATTGGCAAAATGGCAACAGGAGAAACTACATCAAAACTTCTTCGAAACTGCCTCTAAACTGCCTTTAAACTGCCTTGCCCATTTTTGGTAAATTAGATATCGTTGACATCAAACTGAGGCACTGAAGTAGTCAAAATCACAATGTTTTTTTATCGGAATATCATCAACATGACGATACGCAAAAAATACATCATGACCAACACATCAAAACAACCAAACAACCACAACAACAACAACAACAACCACAACAACAACAGCAGCAACAACAACAACAAACCTGTACACAGACCAAAAAACAGAGATGCAAGAAACCACTTATACAACAAACGACAGAGAAAACAAACAAGGAATAAGAACAAACAACAAACCACCAGTTTCGAACAAGAAATAGGAAAAATAACAAACAACAAAAAACCAGCACCAACCAACAAGTAACCAACAAGTAACCAACAGCAAACAACAATTGTCCATCGACTACCAACAAGCAACCAAGAACCATCTCCACCACCAACCACCACAACATCAACATCAACACCAACAAGAGCAGAAGCATTACCATCCTCCCAAGGAACTCCCAAAGCCCAGGCGCACTAGTACTGACAGCAGCACCATTGCCATTGGACTGTTATTAATATACTACTGCTATTACTACTTTCTTCGTATACTCCTCCTACCCTAACCAAATTCTTATTTCTACGCCTACTTCCCTTCCTTATCTTCCTATTATACCGCTACTATTACTACTACTACTCCTACTCCTACTACTACTACTTCTACTACTACTTCTTCTATTACTACTACTACTACTACTACTCCTACTCCTACTCCTACTGCTACTACTACTACTACTACTACGACGCCTACTCCTACTCCTACTCCTACTACCAGTACTACTTCTACTGCTACTACTACTACTACCACTACTATTAGTACTACCACCAACACTATCACTATGGGATCTGGTGTCTGCGCGTGGTCCTGAGGTGCATGTGAGTGTTTGTCCAAACACAGATCCTAGGGCCTTTTATAGGTGGAAAATGCATATAACGACATGGCGTTGGCAGTCCCTCAAGGTCTCGTGTCTCTCTGTGGTGGGTGGCTCTCAAAAGGTAGACAACATCAGAAAACAATCGCCTTGTGAAACAAGCACCTTGTTTTGGCACTCACTTTAAAAGTGAAAGTTGATTCCAACTCATTATGCAACACATTTGCATGTGTTGGACTATCTTTTGTTTGGACAAAACAAGCAGAGACCAGTTCATAGCGATGACATCGCAAAGACGTTTGCGTGTTGAAATCATCACACAGTTTTGGTCCCTATGTGAGAAAAACGAGTCAATCTGATGAAACCGATCTATGCAAAAGAAAACAAAAGTTCGTTTTCCCACTCCGGCATGGTTTTGCATCAGAAAAAGACCCATTGTTCCTTGCTTTGCAAGTCACAATCGATGAGCCATGCTTCCGAAAACGAAGGTGCAACACTAAGCGGTACCTTTGAAAGAGTTTGAAAATGGTCTGTCCAGGCCTTTGGCCTCGTACGCAGCTTTTCGCAAGCGTAGACATCCTCTTTTGCATGTCTTCCCCCATGAAGCACCACAGAAGTCGTGGTGATATGCACCGAGCCAGCAGTGCCACATGCTGCATAAAGTGGGCCTTCTGCGTGATGTTGAATAAGTTTTCTTCCAGAAAGTGCTCAGCAATACGGGTGAGCAGAAGTAGCATGGATGTGACGCTTTCTTCAAATCTCACTGCTTCTTCTTCGGGGAAAGCTAGGCTGTCCTTGTTGTCCACAATCTGCTCTTCAATCTGCAGGTTCAACTTCAAATACAGTAGTATGTCTCGATGAATTGAAAGCCTGGGATTGTGGTATTTTTGCCACACATGCAACAAAGGCCCTGCCAGGTATTTCACCTCGGCTGCTTTCCCTCTTAACTTGGGATAAGTCTTTCGCTGGAACATGCTGAGGCGGTTGAGATATTTGTATCTCACTGGGGTCTGGTTTCTTTTGTAGTATGACTGAATGTCTTTCCATATGATTTCCAGGTTCGATTCAGGTTGACCAGGTAGCACAAAATGGACCAGCAGTGATAACACACTGCCGTAAGTTTGCTGGTCGTGCCCCAAGTACTTTGCATGCATCCAATCCATAGACACCAGCCATGGAGAGAAATCTGGGTCCTGAAAGAGTGGACATTTGGACCGACCATCCCATAGTCGCCATTCATGAGCTGTCCATTGAACATTCCTCCATCCAGCACCAGTGCGGAAGTCTGTCCAAGAGACTGGGCCATGTCCTTTGCACCTGCAAAGAGCGCAAGGGCCATCTGCTAGTGTTGAACGAGGTAAATTTAAGACCTTAGAAAAGTAGTCCAGATCACCTAGTATTCCCCAAAGGACTCCGAAGTGACCACCTGCAAGTGGACGCAAAGCACGACGTCCACTTTCGCTGTTCAAGTCATACCTTCGGGGCAAAGAATGACAACATCCAACTTTAGATTTCCATGATCACAGGGTTAATTTCCCAAATTATTCATGAACCATGCTTGGCTTATAGGTCTAATAACCCCCTATGCTTGGATTATAGGTCTCATATAACCCCCTAGAATTCAACAGATAATTTCACTTTCAAAATTATGTTTAGGTCCAAAAAAAACTGACGTGTTTTCCTAGTGCAGTGTGTCAAATGAAGATATATCTGATATTGAAAATACACCCTGATTGTGAGGGATCGTGTTGGGAGAAAAAGGTTCAAAAGGTAAATGGAGTAAGGCAAGGGGCTTTTGTCCTTTCCAGTCACGGTCTGGCCATTGGCCCAGATAGAGCCACCGCAGAGACCAGCCCAAAATGGAAAAGAAAACGCCTAAGGTGTCCTTCTTTGGGTCCGGGTCTTTCACCCTCAAGTGCTCGAAGACTCCGTAGATCATGAATTGCATGTCCCGGGTTTCCCCTTTGGCCACCATGGAGCACATCGAAAAAGTTGCCATGAGTGCACACCAAGCCTTCCCCACTCTTGTTATGGGGACGTCATCACCATGCAAGCTAAAGGGTATTGCTCGCGACTCAAAGTTTTCTCTGGTTTTCAGAATATGCGAGGCCATGCTTGGATGAAATTGATTTGTTGACCAAAATTCACGCAAGCGATCTGTGGAAGGAAGGATGTGCTGACTCCAAGTGTTCGGGTACCATTCCCAAATGCTGGCGAAGAGCTCGTGGGGTAGAAGAATCGCTTGGGGTAGAAGATTCAGCGGTTTTTTGAGCGGAATTTTTTCAACAAAGGGAAGAGGCACTTTGATGTCAAAGGGAATGTGAGACATCAATTCGCCATAGCACTTGTTGGGATACACCCCCGAACATCCAATGGTTGATATTCTCTCCAAGTCTTTCAAATTTGTACGTAGTTCCTTCATGTCACAAGCGTCTCTGAAGGCTGCATGAGCTATTTTTTGGCACAATTGAGCATCCATTTCGCCCCATGCAAAAAATTGCAAAAACAGGTTGCATAGAGCTGACTGGTGGTTTGGGACTTCACATCGTAGGTCCTGTTTGTGAAGCCTCTGCCGCAACCCTCCCCTACGGGAGCCATGGTCGACATCAGCATCAAGTCGTCGTTTCATGTGTCCTAAGCTGTCGACTGTTGTAAGTAACACACCCTTACTGTGTATACCTTGAGAGCAATCTACCTTGAGAGTGGTTTACCTTGAGAGCAGTCTACCTTTTGAGAGTGTTTGCATACATGTTGATGTCTTTGCAATGAAAAACCAAACAAGACATCCTATCAATACTCATGCGAGCTTTCGTGACCAGATATACATATATGAATATATAATATATACTTATACATGTTGTAAGTCTAATGACATCTTTGTTTGTACAGTAACATGTGTAGACAAAGTACCATCATATTCGCGAATGGATTTTCATAAATGTTAAAATGAAAGACCAAACATGTACATGTTTTTGTTGCATCTAGAGAGGTCATTGAATTTACATTTAGGCAATGCAAAAACGATTCGAGCAACTTGGACGCAGCATCGAAAAATGCTGTGGCGGTTTCAGGCATGTTCTCTCGAGGTAACTCTCTCTCTCATGGTAGAGTGCTGCTAGAGTGACTGCTGGTAGAATGATTTGACCACATGTTTGTGGACCATGGGATGGTGAAGATTCTACTACAGTTTCCTTTTGAATGTCTAAATGAAGGTTGTCAAGGCTTTCATTCTCATCGTTCATACATCTTGCAGACAAGATGACTTGAGACTACCATGGATTTTTAAAAGTAATTTGCGCACCCCTCCATGTTGACTGTTCCCCAGTCCACAATGAGGACCCCAGCTCTGACCGTTTTTTCCCCTGCCCATCTCAGATGTTTTTTCGGAACCTTTCGCTTTTTGAAACAGGTATGTACCAAAAAAGGATCCACACCCTTCAGATTTCCTTCATAGATTGCCCAAAATTGGCACGCCCTGCTGCCAAAGAATGCCCCCAACCAAAAGTACACATGTCACATGTATGATGTAAGATTCAGTGATGAAACTCTTTTAGTCTATATTTTTCAATTTGGGGTTTCCTTACAACATGGACGGCAAAATCAACCCTGGAAAATGGGATGCCTTCACTTCTTGGAAGCTTTGATCAAACCGCGGGTCACTTCCACGAGCTCATTGTACTCGGAAGTATGGGTTGCCATACTAAGCATCGCCTGGTCCAGGTTCTCTTTGGTCGATTCCATGTTGTCCGGTAGCTCGTGGAATTCTTTCATATGGTTCAGCTTCGCGATGTTGGTGTTGCAAACCCCATGCCCTGTCTTCAATTTTTTGAATCTCTCGTCCGACTTGTCTCCAGCCCAGGCCTTGATGATCATAGAAGCTTCTTTGGCCAATTTGGCCTGAGAATCAGTAGCCTCCTTGATGAGATCCTGGATTGCCGGTGGGATCGTGGCACCAGGAAGGAACTTGGTGACATCCTTGTCTTTGTAGGTCCAGCTCCAACCCACATGCTCGAATGCTGCTGCCAACATTCTGCACTGCTCCTTTGAAATCTTTGAGCTGCTCTTCACAATTTGCTCTTCAACGGTGGCATGCTTCTTGCCTTTCTTGTAGGTAGTGAAGCTGTACATTGTTTGGCCATCACCACAGTCCACAGCCTGCACCTCACCCTTTTTGACTGCAAGCTTGAAAGCTTGATCATCGTTGTGGAAATACAATCCCTTCAGGATTGATTCCGGCATGGCATTGTCCTGTTCTTTTGCAAAGCGTTCCTGGTAAATCCTCTTGTGCTCCTGGAAGAGGTGATCGTTCAGATTCAACTGAAGCTTCCCCTTGGAATCGCGAGTAAACAGCTTGTTGATCACCATGGTCTTGTAGTCACGTGGGCTGGAAGCCTTAGCGGATTGCTTCTCCACTAAGTCCAACACGTGTTCTGGCAGACTGTCCTTCATCTTGGCATACTTCTGGCCTTTGGCCTTGTCTCGGCCAGTCACCTCCGTGTCCGTCTCAGTCGAGTCTGGCGTCTCCTTCTTGTTCTGGACCAAGTCTGCCTTCGAAACTCCTCTCTGCATCTTAGAGATGGTCTTCTGGATGCACAAGCCGGAGCTGGACGCAGGTCTCTTCATGCCAGGCTTCTTCATGTCGAAGATGCAGGCTCAGGTCAGGTCAGGTCAGGATGCTTAGCAACCTTGAGGTAAAAATGGTAAAGACTAGGTATGAATGAGACAGGTAATCCACACAAAGTGGCATGGTGAATGCGTCAAGTGTCACGCATCGCGAAGGCCTCAGCAAAGATTCCAACAAACATGCGAGAGGAAGTTTCAAGGAAATTTCCTTGAAACTGCCTTGACTGTTTGATGTAGTTTCATGGCAGTTTGAAAGAAGTTTGAAGGAAGTTTGGATGTAGTTTTGAGGAAGTTTGAATAGTAAATCGTGCAAAACTGCAGTAATATCAATGTTCTTCCATTGAAAACTTCCTCACTATGTAGTGAAACTGCCTTTGAAACTTCCTCAGCACACTGAGGAAATTTCCTTGAAACTTCCTTCAAACTACATCAGTGTGACATCATGGTTTCATGGATCTTTCATACTTGGAACATGTGCTCACCTTTTTCGCTTTTGCATCCAAGTAGCAAATCCTACAAACTTTCTTAAAAACAAAACTGTCGGCGCTGAAGTCATGTAGCGGCCAACTCACTTGCCAAACTTCATGCCCTTCCCCATCTTCTTGTTCTTTTTGGACTTTTTGGACTTCTTCTTTTGGTAGTCCTTGGTCTTTGGGCTGTCACCATGGGGCTCAGTTGTCTTTTCCTGGTCTCCCTGGTCTTAATGAAGCTCTTCTTTTTTGGTCACCTCTTCCTCGGCCATCTCATCTGAAGAGTCAGACATAGCGAGTGCAGCGTCGAGAGCAGCTTGACTGGATGCTGAAACTGGTTCCCCAGCAACTCCAGAAGCCACGTTGATGACTTGGGACCTTTGAGATAGCAGGTGTTGTGCCCTGGTCACCAAAAGCTGCATCATGAAAGAAGGCTCCCCATCACCATCTTTCTCCACAGTGCCATCGGATTTGAACACCATCGAGTAAGGTTTGGGCATGGTCGCAACAGTAGTCTAAAATTGTGCTTTGGTGTGCACACTCTATTGATCTTGGAAAAACTGCAAATCCATGGGACGATGGTGGTTGGTAGCTTCAAGAAACGATCACATGGGTTCTGATCACTGAGTAAAACTGTTTTTCCTCCGATGTAAAAACAACTATGAACGGATAAACGCGCAAAACAAACACCAGCAAATGGGTTTGAGATTCATTGTCTTCCACTTCCCAACCCTTGAAAGCATCTCAACGACACGGCTCTCCCTGAAAATTGCCACATACCAAACATGTTGAAACTGATAACACCTATAGTGACCCTGGTTCAGTTCCCCCAAAAAATCGAACCATCTCATTTCCAATAAATATATTGCCTAAAAACTTCGCACCCGAAAAAGAAACATAGCTCCAATTTGGGACCACTATCCTTTTGAAACCAAACTCCAAAAGCACGAAAAACCAACCCCAAACTTTTTTTCAACACTGCGTGGCTTTGTGATGAATCAGTCGACAGGCAGTGATCTAAGCTTCTGCCTTCTTACCCACGGTAGCTCTTCTGGTTCTTCTTCAGGGTATGCATCTTTCTTTTTTCTCTTTGAGTCCTTGTCCTTCTTTTTTTCTTTTTCCAACACGATGGATCTGTATAGATTTCTTCCACCGCCCATCTCTTCTGGCCTCCCTCTGAAGTACCTGGGGCTGCATCTAAGTTGACCTGTGAAGTTCCAGCCAAGTGGGGCTCAGCAGATGCGGCTCCAGGTGTAGAAGGGGAAGACCGTAAAGTAGATAATCTTGGAACTGCTCTCTGCACAGCCACTGGTTTGTCAGAAAGTCCCTGGAGAACCTTTGCATGGAACGTGTCGATTGCAGCTTGGACCTCTGCGTCGTTTGAGAGCGAAACAAATCCAACACACATCTTCCCAGGTGTGTTTGACATCGTCCCAGATCGGTGGATGTATACATCCTCTGGGCGGACATTTTGAAACCCATGCCTTTGAAAAAGTTCCGACATGCCTTTGGAGTGGGCCATGTTGAAGTCCAGATTCTTGATGATGACTCTATCGGCCATGGTAAGCAGCCCCTATCATGCCCGACCACCGCACACGATCCAAGACTGATCAGTAATGGTGAAAAGTGTGATATGTTGGTTTGTGCAAAACTTATTCGATGCCTGCACAGTATGTATGATATTGATACTTGTTGTTTGTGTTTTTCTCACTTGTGGAATGCACACCATCAGATGAGGTAACTCTTCAAAAGGCTGCGGGAAAAACGACTGAACATGCTGACAAAAGTATCTCTCAGGTGTGGTGTCTCTCTCTCTCTCTCATGGTAGCTATCTCTCAAGGTAGCTGGCTCTCTCAAGGTAGACAGAACTGACTGCAACAAAAACTGAGTGACTGTAGGTTGACATGCATGCAGCATTTTGAAAATTTGTTGAGGAAAAAGGTAACAAGGATTGAACATGTCATGAGAAATCAAACAGTTTTGAAGCTGTCAATCCCTGTTTGCTGGACGCTCTTTTTTCCCTCGCCATTGCGCAAAGCCTGCGCCAAGCATCCAAGAGTTTGGATTTGGGGTTAGCCCCAAAGACTCGAACATCTAGGAATTGGGCCTGACCTGCAATGTCAATCTACATTCACAGGCTGGGGCCACATCAAATCAAAGTCAGCTCCAGCTTTTGCTGCAGCCTGGCGGCCTTTGACCTTACACTGTTCCCACCACTCTGCACTATCATCCTCCTCAGTTCCAAGTGCCCAATGGGCGTCAGCAGCTTGGTGGTATGCGCGGCTGGTGACCAACTTACGGTTTTCTGATCTGTTTTTCCCTGGGTCCATGCCCTCTGGGACAGGTCTCTTACCTGGTCCTCCTTCGTCTTGAATCTCCTTCTTGCTCTTCCTGCTACGCTTTTGCTTTTCTGGGCCATCTTCACCCTTGCCATTTTTACACTTCGGATTTTTCAACTTCTGGGTAAGTGCTGGGGTGTCAGCTGCGGTCTGCTGGACAGCTGCTGCTGTCTGAGCCTCACACTGAATCTCTGTCTTCTTGCTCTTGCTCTTGCTCTTGCTCTTTGCCTTTGCCTTTGCCTTTGCTGATTTCGAACCATTCTTTGGTTTAGTTTGTGTTTTCTGCTTTTTTTCTGCAGCTGCCACCTTGCTTGTTGGTCTTTTCAACAGGTTCTTCATCGCCATCATTGCTGTCAACCTCGGCTTGCTGAGCTGCTTTCTTGGTTTTGTTGGCTCTAGAAAGTTGCGATTTGAACCCATTGTTGATGGGCTGCTGGCCTTGTACTTGCTCTAGCACAGCCGCCTCGGAAGCATCGACATGCCCTATGGTAACCAAGCCATCCAAAAACCCTTTGAATTTCTCAGGGCTTTTCACTGCGTCCACGTGCACAGGGCTGTGGCCACGTACCTTCTTTGCCTTTGATTGCTTCTCAGACTTCTCAGGGGAATCAAGAGTGAAGGGGTCTCTCTTCAAGACCATCCTGAACACATCCTTTGGGTCCAGAACCAAGGTAGGGACATGTTTCTTTGCAGGCTCAGGCGTCTGAAAGGTTGGTGTCGTCGAAGCTTCCACCGGCACCAGGGAAGTGACCTCCTCACTTTTCTGAGAATCATCACTATTGCCATTCTCAGATCCATCCCCCAACTCCATTATGTCGATGATTTCCTTCAAGATTGCTTGTTCTTCACCATCCGCTTTTCTGAAGCACCGCTGTTGAGCCGTGCTGGACTGCTTCAAAGCCCTGAGATGCGCAAAGCCTATGCGGATCCACTCATCAACTTTTTCTGCAAAGTCTTCGGGTGTTTTGTTGGTGTGGTTCACATTCTTCTTTTCCTGCAACTTCATCAGGGCACTGCGGTGTTTCTTGGCTGGCAGAACACCGTTTGGCGCTATGGCCAAGTACTTTTTGTAGAGCACACCATTCTTGGCGAGCCAACTAGGGTTGGTAGTACTTTTCCATGAAATCCCCACCGGCGGTTCCACCATCTTGTAAAGGTTCATGTTCCCGTTTTCCACCAAGTAACCCTCGAGGGAGTCAAACAAGTCTTTAACTCCTATGCAAGGATCTGCCGTAAGCTGCATCTTGGGCTTGAGAACCGCCATGGCTTCCAAAAACTGTTTGAAGGAACTTGTATCCCTCAGGCCAAAAACAAGGTGTGCAAAATGCCCCCTATACAAACAATGTCATGTGTATAACTATGAATTTGATGTTTGTCATTACATGTAAAGTCAGGACATTGCATGTTTTTTTGTTTCCATAGAAATAAGCTGCTGCCACATGTTGCTTCATATGAGGGCTGCCTGCGGGATTGGCACGGGTTGGCGAATCGAAGGTAGTGATCTCTCAAGGTAGGCTCTCATGGGTAACTCTCAGGGTATACGAAGGCAACAGCTACAGCAACAACAGGGACAAAAGCAACAGTGTGTGTGACATCCAAAGTGTGATCTGAAAGTGCTAGATCATGAAACAGAGCCCATGGTCTGAAACCTAAACACTGCGCCTTTTGAAAAATATTTTCAATGGAAAACAGCATGGGCCCAGGCGTCACTCCCCCAATACCAAAAGGTCAACATGGCAAGCTGCCAAGTCCTGATCTTTAGTCAGACCGGTGTTTCAAAGCAAAGTGAGCAGATTCCACAGCCCACTCTAAATCTAACAACCACTCGGCAACACTAGGATCGCCATCACCATGATACATGGTCATAGTTCTGATCCACCCCAATGTAGAACTCATCTCTTCTTCAAGAATGTCTGCATGACACAGGCGTCCTAAATCTCGAAAATTTCCACGCACAGGTGAAGGAGCAGCACCAGCAATGGTAACCCTACAAGGCGAGATGTGCAGTAGATCTTCGGGTTCTCTCACCTTCACCTCTGTGATAAGGACCCAGCATTCAGCCAAAATCTCTGAGCCACGGTGCACACCAACTACTCCAAGAATGGAGCGCAGGCATTCCCTGGCACACTCCAGGATCTCAATCCTGTCAAAATCATCTTCATCATCATCGAGTAGCTCACTTTTCCATGTGAAAAGCAAAGTGAAAAGAGCGCTGAAGAGCTCGTGGGACAAAACCATAGCAAAAAGGTCGAACGGAATCTATGCTACCACAGTTGATGCAAATGGCTCCATGGTGCAGTGCTCTACATTTGACTCATGGCAGTCAAAAATGAATTTGCGCGCTGCTACTGATGCCCTGCTCAACTTGTCTTTGCAATTCTGAAAAAAACATGATGTGTCAAGGTCACGTCTTTTCTTTTCTCACCACCCCCTCTGCGTGTTCATGTTGCCACTAGTGCTTTTTGCTGCTGCCAATGTTGTCCCTCTTACAGTTGTCTACACCCAGCTCGAACGGCATCATTAACTTACACAACCCCACTTTAAATACGCAGATACGCAATTACAAAAACATGCATACCTACATATACCTACACACATACATGCATGCATACATACATACATTACATTACATTACATTACATTACATTACATTACATACATACATACATACATACATTACATACATACATACATACGTACATACATACATACATACATGCAATTTTGTATAATCAACATGCCTGCGAACATATTCACAGATGGGCTAACTTTCAAAATGCATACCTACACAAAAAACACTGAAGCATCAACCAACTGAACAAAAAACGTCGACCATAAATCCAACACCAACACCCCCATCATAGCGAGCACCATCACCATGACCACCACCACAACCAACAGCAACAACAACAGCAACAGCAACAACAACAACAACAAACAAACAAACACACAAACAAACAAAGAAACAAACAAACAAAGAAAGAAAGAAAGAAAGAAACAAACAAACAAACAACCAAACAACCACAACAGCGGCAGCAACAACAACAACAACAACAAACAAACAAACAAACAAACACACACACAAACAAACAAACAAACAAACAAACAAACAACAACAACAACTATAACACTAACAACCAACAACAAGAAGAAGAACAAGAAGAACAAGAAGAACAAGAAGAACAAGAACAACAACAACAACAAGAATAAGAACAAGAACAACAACAACAGCAACAACAACAACAACAACAAACAATAGACCACACACACACCAAACCACAAACAACATGAAGCAACAATAACGACGACAACAGCAGCAACAACAACAACAACAACAGAGGAAGTTTGAACAAAAAAAGTGAGGAAGTTTCCCCAAAAAACTGAGGAAGTTTGAAGAAAAAAGTGAGGAAGTTTGAGAGAAGACGACGAAGAAGTTTCACGGAAATTTCTTGGAAACTACCTCAGGAAGTGCGGGCTGAGTCGGCGGTCAGTTTGCCGAATTCGGCAGTTTGTTCTGACTATTTCTCCAAAAAATCTGCCTTTTTTGGCAAATACAATTTGTCAAAATATCCAACAAGATAATCTGCCGAATAGTTAGATTTCTGACGTCTCCAAAATTCTCACTAATAGTCAATTTTTTGTCTAACCGGGTCTATTGGGCAGAGTCATTGGTTCAATCGGCTCGCCCTCGTCATCCACTTGCTGGTTGTAGCATCGCCAGGCGTGCCCCAGGTGCATGACTTGACGTTGCCATTCATCGAGTGCAGCGTTGAACAAACGCTGGGTGTTCTTGGATTCCCATGACGTGTCCATGGTGAAGTAGTGGAGCTCTCGGTGAATTGCCCTGAATGAGATGATGATCGGGGCGTCAGGGTCAGATGGATTGAGAGATCCATCCATCTTCCTCGTCGCGCTCAACCACGTGTTCTCGGCAGGCACCGATTGATTGACTCCACGTAGATCCCCACCATAAGGTCGAAGTTTGAATTCACGTAGATGATCACGTAACATGGCCAGAGTAAAGGTTGGCTCATGCTTGATAGGATAAGGTACATGGAAGTTCTTGATGTACTCCCACATGTTTCCTAAGCTGTTGATGCATCCAGACGTGCAAAATGCAAAGACCTTGTGGTTGTCCCGTGACGCCAACTGGACAAACGTCTTCATGTAGGTCGTGCACCTCTCCAGGAAGCGCTTGGCACCTTGGTTCAGCTCCTCTGGGCACTTGACCAACTCCATGACCTGAAGGAACAATGTGATGGCGTCCACTTCAGACCTGTTTGAAGGAATCTTGCTCAAGAAGCAAGCTGAAGCCGCTGCGATTGGGCTGATCCCGATCGCATGCCATTTGTCGACCGTGTTGTCTGGCAAACTGCTGTAGGAAGGCTCGTACTCCCGGTACGTTGGCAGGATGACACTGTGCTTCCCGTTGTCCCTCAATGCCAGAGCTGTTGCATTGCTAACCCTTTTGTTCAGCCTGTTCCACGGAGATCCCCCCGTGCAAGGTCCGCGAAGAAGACACAGTCCTCGATGCTGCGGAGGCATCTTCTCCACTTCGCAGTCCCATATCTGGAGAGAAGGTCATCATCCTCCGTGATCAACTCCAAATGAAAAGATGTATCTATGATTTCTCTGTACCTCTTTGTCATCAAACTTGAAGGTTCGGCACACATCAATACCATAGTGGGTGTACTTTCGGGCAGCTCTTGCATTGTAATGGTGACGTTCTTCCCCAAAAACTTTGTATCATTGAGGTCATGAATAGATCTGAAGAACGTACACTTCATGCATTGCCCACTGTCACGAACCAATATCAGATTGATCAAACTGTCCGCAAATATATTCAACTCATTCTCATTCTTGGTGTCTTCAATCACCGTTCGGTATGTGTGAGGGATAAATATTTTGTTGTAGGAAATGATGTCCAGACCCTTGGTGTTAACACAAGCCATCAGATTATCATCCATAATGCAACTCGCAATGCAACCGGCTGAACTTCATGATGTCTTAGAACACGAAAGATAGACTTTCCTGTCCAGAACTCATTTCGACTGTTCGACCTCTCTCCGTTGTTACCAGGGAGACGCCAATTACTTTTGTCCATCCTCACGTTCGACTGGAACTTCTGTTGAGTTTCTCTCCAATCTTGAATCAAACGATGATCACAGGGACAATCATCACAATCACTTGGAACGAACATTTCTCTTCGCGGTATGTTGTGGATCCTCTCCAAAATGTGACTTCCTACCCATCTCCATTCATCATGAACTCGTACTTCATCTTGACCACATTCAGTTGCGGATGCTACTTTCTTGATATTTCTTCTACGTTTCGGCGGTTTCTTCATTTGCAATAACCCCATAAACGATTTGTTTAACGTCTTGGGGGCTTTGAACCGTTTCGAATCCTCCATGCTTCTCCCCCCATGAACAAGGCGTACCAGGGCATTGATCACCCCAATAGTCATGGGATTCCCTTCATAAAGTGAATACGGAATCTTCTGATGACGTTGA